GAAAGGTAAGTTTCTCTGGGTGTTTCATGGGTAGTTATTAGAAGAGAACCTCTAATCCGGTCATAATAGACTGGGGCTTGTGTTTTAGTTTAATCATCAGAGGGCTTCGGCTATTCCCTGTCTGTAACAAAAGGAATTCTTCTTCATCTCAGTCCTTAATGGCTTACCCCTTATTCTTAGAATGTGATCCCCAGTTCTGCACTTCGCCAACATCAGGAACATTTTTTCCACGTCTAGCCTGTACATTTCCATTAGGATTTTATATGTTTCTATGAGATACCCCCTCGTTCTTTTAAATTCCAGGGAATAGAAGCCCACTTGATCCAGTCTTTCTTTATATGTCAGTCTGGTGAACCTTCGGCGGACTCCCTCAATAGCAAGAATGTCCTTCCTCAGACTAGGAGACCAAAACTGCACACTCTACTTAAGGTGTGGCCTCATCAAGGCCCTGTATAACTACAGAAAGACATCCCTACTCCTGTACTCAAATGGTCTTGCTATGAAGGCCAAGATGCCATTAGCTTTCCTCACTGCCTGCTGCACCCGCATGTCAACCTTCAGTGACTGTTCCACCGTGACACCCAGATCTTGTTGCACCTCACCTTTTCCTAAACTGCCACTATTCAGATAATAATCTGCCTTCCTTTTTTTTGCCAAAAAATTGAATGACCTCACATTTGTCCACATTATATTCCATTTGCCAAGTATTTAAAACAGATTTCACCACAATTTCTTTAAACAAACAAATATTAATCTCAAAATATGGATTTTAATTTCAAGGATAAATATTCATTGATTCACTAAAACCTAGCTAAAAGCTTAAAATATTTACTTACTCCACTTATCAACACTTTGAAATTAGCAATACAGGCATTAATTACATCAGCTGGAATTTGCACCCCTGTGTGAAAAATAGTTATCTCATCCATACTGTCACATCAGGCTTTTTGATGTCAAACTGTGATTTCTCTCTCCCTCTCTATACACTCAGAATCCAGATGAACTGTCATTTCTCTAAGTAAACAAAGCTGTCAACATTTTCTAGACGCTGATTTTGTCCTCTTTGAGACTGGTCAATCCTGAGAGAACAAATTTAATCTGAAAATTGCTCTCATTATTTAAATCCTTAAATCTCAGATATCTTTTAATCTTCATTCTCTGATTATCCTCTTCTTTTCTCCCACCCCGCAACCATGTTAATTAAATTGGTGTTTAATTATAATCCAGTGGCGACATTAATTTGGACTCCCTTGAATCCCTATATTGAGTGCAGCAGGACTGGTTTAGTGATAGTGGTAGTGCTATTGCCTCTAGGCCACAAGGTCCAGGTTAAGGTCTCCTCCTCATCCAGAGGTGCGCCATAACAAGTCTAAACAGTTTGATTGAAGGGTTTGATTTGACTTATTATTGCTACATGTATCTAAGTACAGTGAAAAGTGTTGTTTTGCATGTAGTACAGGCAGACCATAACATACAAAGATAATAGGATGATTGAACAGAGCGAGGAATAAAATGGCTGCAAAGAAGGTGTCCAGAAAACAAGACCAGCATTAGATTTGAAATTTGAGAGGTCCATTCAGAAGTCTATTAACAGCAGGGAAGAAACTGGTCTTGAACCTGTTTGTGGTGTGTTTAAGCTTTTGTATCTTCTGCCTGGCAATAAGAAGTGTAGATGGAGTCAATGGTTAGAAGGTTGGCTTTCATGATGGACTGGGCTGAGTTCACAACTTTCTGTAGTTTCTTACAGTCCTGGGCAGAGCAGTTGTCGTACCAAGCCATGATGCATCCTGATATAACACTTTCTGTAGTGCATCTGTAAAGTTTGTGAGGCACCTTATGACATGCTGAATTTCCTCAGCCTCCTGAGGAAGAAGAGGCATTGCTGTGCCATCCTGACCATCGCATCTACGTGGGTGGTCCAGGCCAGATTGTTGGTGATTGTCATTCCTCATAGATCGAGACGTGTCCTCCTCCTCCTGCTCCTTTATTCAGGAGCAGGTTGATACATTGGTTGGTTGGAGGTGGCTAACATGGAATAGATGTCTCTTCAACATAACTTATGAAGTTAGAAAGATTTGTTGCTTAGTGATCAGGGTTTTAACACCCCTTACAATACAACCCAAGAGTGTGCTGCAGAAGCTTGAAATAAACTGGTTTGACTTTTGACTGAAATACTTTGAGATACATCATACTATTTCACTAGGGAGGTGCATTACCGAAAAAGATTTGCTGCTTTGATTCAATCAAAAAAAAACTATCCACAAGGACAGATTGATTGATGCTACCTTTAGATCAGGGAAGGCTGAAACAAATGACAGTGCAGGCTTTCAAAAGAATGAAGTGTTACTTGATATGTTTCAAATATGACTGGCCAGCGCTTGATGTAACACCACATGACATCTCTGGTCATTCTTTGGTTCGTATCAAACCAGTCTTCAATGAAAATATTTAAAAGGGATATACCAGGCATGTAGTTTTCTGTACAACAAGGAAAACTGAAGTGCATTAATATTTCAGACTGGCATTAGGCACTAGTGAACGATTCAGATTCTATTATCTCAGATCAAATTGAGCCTACTCTATATCCTTCTGCAATGAAACATACACCATTCTTGGGGAATTTGGCAGGACACATACTGAGAGGATGTTTCCCCCTCTTGGGGGACTCTGGAACCAAGGGACACAGTTTAAGTATAAGGAGTCTCTCATTCAACACTGAGATAAGGAGGAAATTCTCCTCCCAGAGGATCGTTAGTATTTGGAATGTTTTTCCACAGAGAGCTGAGGAGGCTGTGTCATTGAATATATTCAGAGCTGAGTTGGATAGATTTTTAATTTTCCAAGGGAGGCTGTGGTTAGCCAGAAATTGGAAATAAGACCACAATCAAATAGCAATGATATTTTTGAGAAGAGGAGAAAATGGCTCATCCTGCTGCTATGTTTTATTATCATGATAAGCACACCCCATCGTCTCCAAAAATCTAAATACCTAACCATTCCTTGTGAAAAAAAAAGTTGTAGCCTGTAAAGTAATGGGACAGTAGCAACATGGAGATAACATTTTCTGAGGATCAAGAAGCAGTGAGGTAGTTTATGGGTATTTTACACACTGTTGGGTGGTTTGTAATGGAGTTCCTGAAGGTTCAGTATGAGGCCCTTTGCTTTTCCTGATACGAATGATCTAGATCTTGATGTGCAGGAGACAATTTCAGTTTCAAAGGTCTAGATGGCACAAAATTCAGGAAGGTTGAGGATATTGTAAATGGCGGCTGAGGCTGTTGTAAATGGTGTTGAACTCCAAAAGGACATAGACAAATTGGTGGAGTGAGTAGACAAGGGGCTAAAGATCAAGTTCAATGTGCAAAACTGTTTGCTGGTACTGGTTGGTGAAAAGAACAGGAAGAGCCAATATTAACAGAAAGGATATTATTCTAAAGGGTATGCAGTTGCAGACAGACCTGGGTATATGTGATATAAGTCATTAAAGGTGGCAGGACAGGTGGAGAGAGCCATTAATAAAGCACACAGTTTTCTAGGCTCCATTAATAGGACTATACAGCATAAGAGTGAAAAGCTTATGCTGAATTTATAGAAGACACCAGTTAGACCTCAGCTGGAGTATTGTGTATTGGTGAAGCAGTACAGTTTTCCTCGGAGAGGAAAAGGCTGGGAAGAGGTTTGATAGAAGTTTTCAAAACCATGATGGCCTTGGATAGTGTACATGGGAGGAACCTTTTCTCACTTGTAAAAGGATCAATAACCAAGGGAACTCCATTTTAATGTGTTTTGCAAAAGAAGCAAACATGAAGTGAGAAAAAAGCCTTTTCATTCAACGAGTAGTTAGGGTCTGGAATGTACTGCTTGGAAATACAGTGGAGGGAAGCAGGCAACGGAGGCATTCAAAAAGGTATTTCATGGTTATTTAGATAGCAACAACATGCAAGGCAGGAGATTGGCACAAAGTCAAAACTCTTAGAGAGCTGATGCAGACGCAGTGGGCCGAATAGCCTTGTTCTGTGCTGGAACAATTCAATGATTCTATAACACACATTCAGTGTGTTAGTCAATGTCCAATTGGGCTCGTAAAAAGAGGATAGACTTTGGTAAATTTGAAAGGTGATTGAGGAGACTGGTTCAGTATTCCATAGAGTTTCAAATACTAAGGAATGGCCTTGTAGAAATTTATAGAATTCTCACATCACAGGGTATATCAGAGTTTCCCTTGTCTGATGAGTCTAAAACCAGTGGACAAAATCTCAGGACAAGACACAGTTCATTTAAGGCTGAGATGGGGAGAATTTCCTCACCTAGAATGTGGTGAATGTTTTGGAATTCTCTACCTCAGAGGGTCGTGGAAGTCCAATTGTTGAGTAGGTTTGAGACAGAAATTGATAGATTTCTGGAAACGAGTGACATCGAGGGAATTGGACATAGTGCTGGAAAGTGGCATTGAGGTAGATGATCCGCCATGGTCTAATTGAATGTTGGGTCTAGGCTCAAATGGGCTGGATGGCCTATCCAGGATCCTGACACAACCGAAGGGGAGTTATTTTCTAAGATACCACTTGCCAGTATGAAAAAGGCAGTTTTTAAAGGGGGAAGATCAGTAAAGATTGAACAAATTTCAAGCATGGGTTAAAAAAGAAGTTTCCATAAAATAGTCCAGTTTCATCATTCTCCTGCCATGAAAGACATCACATGGATTGTCAAATCCATTGGTGAATCCAGTCAGTGAGCGTAGATTTGATGAGTCACTTGACCACTGCTATTGTGTTCTTCCACATTGGTTATTTCTTATGCTAAAAGAAAAGTGATTAGATTCTGTTTGGCAGTTTCAGAATTTATTTACTTTTATCTATGACCAATTCTTCCATGTCTCAGTTGGAAAATTGTGAACAGTAGATCATAGATATTAGTACTTCATTTCCTTCTTTAACAAAGCTATAGCAGTACCAGATTATAGCATAAAGTGATAATTAATAAACTGTTGCTTTCTGCAGGCTGACAATAATCGCAGAGTGTCAACTGCAGCTCCAGAACTTTCCAATGGATGAACATTCTTGTCCTCTCATCTTCTCCAGCTGTAAGTATTGCCTCTGTCAAACATCTAATAGAAATCTAATAACCCTTTAAGCGACTTTTATTTTGGGCAGCATGGTTACTTACTTTTGAGAAAACTGAAACGGTGTTGATGCTTCATCACATTGTACCCCAGAGTGATTCTCAATTAACAGTTTAATATATAAATCAAGACATGCTGAGGGAAAATTGTAGCGACTGATATCTCCTTCACTCTCCCTCTCATTCTTTAGCTAGTGATATATTGATAATGATGATCTAAATTATTCTCATCCTTTGTAACATGCCACTCATGCATTAGCATCATTCTATTTCACTCTGAAAAAAATGTCAGAGATCAGTTTGGTCATGTCAGTTATTTAACTGGGCTGTATTCTGCAGGGAGAGAGAGAGAGAGAGAGGGAGAGAGAGACAGAGACAGAGAGATCTATGATTGCAGTTGATATTGTGAATAATCCTGCTGGGAATTATGAACAGAGCTGAAGAACTTAAACAATGCTCAAACAACATTCTGCAAAACAATAGAAAACAAAAGTAGCTTACAATTTTGAAAGAATTCTGATATTTGCTGTACAAAGAACCTAATAGATAGAGATGCCTTTCCTCCTTTTTGGCTTTACCAAAGCTCATCAAAAGTATTAATTGGTTGCATACCACTTTGAAGTGTCCCAGGAAAAGTGCTCGGAATGTGAATGCAAATCATTCATTCGTTCACTGGCAAAATGCAAATAAAGCAAATGAAAGCAAAATGCTGCAGATGCTGGAAATCTGAAACAAACACAGAATGCTGGAGAAACTCAACAGGACTGGCAGCATACATGGAGAGAGAAACATAGTAAAGGTTTTGAGTCTGGTATGACTCTTCTGCAGAACTGCAAATCAAGCAGATTAATTCAGAAGGACTGCAAAAATGAAATAACCTAAGTTTGGAGTTGTTTGGAACAATATCCTAAACTCATCTCTGAATTATGAATGTCTTCGATATGAGCCACAGCTTAACAAACAGCATTAATAATATATTAAAAGACCTGAAGAAAATGCTATATATGTGACTTGAATTGGCAATTGTCCTAAAAAATATGCAGCACAGGGATTACCCAGGGCCTTGAAGCAAGCTGATGTTGTCGGAAAAGGAGATTTCTCAACACCAAGGTGCAGGGCTGGATGAACACAGCAGGCCAAGCAGCATCATAGGAGCAGAGAGGCTGACGTTTCGGGCTCAACACCATACTGAGCTCAAAGCACATGGCTTGGCTGAGGGTGTGTTCCCAGAGGGATCTTCTGAAATTCTAAATTCGAAATCTGTCAAATCTACTGCTTAATCTGTCGTGAGCATTGCATTAGAATTGGATTGGACAGTGTCGCAAGTCAGATGGCTGTGGAGAGAGAGTAGGAACTGCAGATGCTGGAGAATCTGAGATAACAAGCTGTAGACCCTTCTAGGCCCAAAACGTCAGCCTTCCTGCTCCCCGGATGCTGCTTGGCCTGCTGTGTTCATCCAGCTCTACACCTTGTTATCTCTTTAGTCACATAGCTGTGTCGTGTTGTAGAAGGTGTCACAATGACTCCAAACATCCTCAGGGGTTCAAAAGACATTGTAGCCTTACAGGGCTACCACCTGCTTGACTTTGGATGGGGACCATATTTTTGATAATAAGCCATCTAAAAGTTTCTAGAGTGTGAATGAACCCTGGATCTTAGCAGACCATTGCTTAGCCAGTTCATACGAAAACCTCTCTCTGCTTTTACTGAAGGTATATCATTGGCTAATGGTCATTAGAATCGTGAAGGGATGATTTCAGAGAAAAAAAATAATAGTGCTCATCTACTGACTATCATGAGCTGTAATTTTTGGACTCTGGATTTTTTTTTAAAATCGAAGTGAAAAACAAATGTGTTCCAATCTATGTCTCCTGATTCATTAAGCCTTGGGGTTATTTGAGTCGGTGAAATATTAAAGGTAACAGCATAGAAAGAAGTCATTTGGCCCATCCTGTGTCAGCTCTCTTTCAGAATTAAGCTCACTCCACTCCCCTTTTCTATGCATCGTGCAATTTTATTTCTCCTCAGATACTTATCCAATTATGTAAATGAAATGTCACAACTCTGGCACTTTTTCACCCTGTTTTATCGTGCCATCTGTCTGGTTTTGCAAATGGCAAAATGTTGCAAACACAGATGGATGGAACTAGTACTTAGAAGAGAAGATAATTAGAAGCTGGTGTTACTATGAATAAGTGACATCCATAAAGCTTCTCCCTGGTGTTACGTCTGGATCATCCACATGCTCCGGGAGTAGGTAAAGTAGGATAGCTGTTTGAAATAGATTTCCTTGCTGGGGTTTGAAAAATCCCCAGTAAAATCTCTGCAGATGTTTAGATTATGGTTCATGGATAAAAGCACAGGTAGTGCATGGGTGAATGATACAGGCCATTTAGGACTGAGATGAGGAAGCACTTCTTCGCTTAAACTCTGGAATTTGCTACCACAGAAGGCTGTGGAGGCCGGGTCACTGAGGTTAATCGAGAAGGAGATTGATAATTTTTTACTGTCTAAAAGGCGTGAATGGGTATGAGTGAGAAAGCAGGAATATGGCATTGAGTTAGAGGATCAGACATGATCCCATTGGATGGTTTGAAAGGCTGAATGGCCTACCCCTGCTCCTCGTTTCTATGATGTAACTGATGGCATCCCAGTTTCAGTCTTCAATCTGTTCTGAGGTAGCTAATTTCATTCTTGGGGTATTGAAAACCCCAAACAGATCTTAGCTGTCTTTACAGATGGCCCAGTATTCTATAATATTTCTTCTCTTAATGTGTTTGTATTTTTCTTTATCCTTTTTGCCTCTCTCAGGAGAGTAACATGACTTTGGAGGGGAGGCTGAGAGGTGTCTTCAAGCTCCAATTATCATAATGTTTAGGGTACACTGGCTGAAATAACTGATTATTCCATGATCGATGATTTTGTCCACTCATGTTTAAAAATGTACATCTCAATCCTCAGCTGTAGCAGGGAAATAACAATTAGGTTTCCAGAATCAGAAACCATGCAGAAAATCATGTGTGCTCACAAAGAATCAGGTTCGACTGCAGTATCCCTGTAACCAACCAGTCCAGTTGCCCACTTCTTACATTTTGAGGCTTAACCCCCATAAGATTAGAAGTAGGGACGTTCGTTGATAGTGTTCAGTACTATTCACAACTCCGCAGATACTAAAACAGTCTATAACTGCATGAGGCAAGACCTTATTAGTATTCATACTTGGGCTGATAAGTGCCATGTAATATTTGTGAAATGCCAGGCGATGACCATCTCCTGCAAGAGACAATCAAACCATACTCCTTGGCATTCAACACTATTAGCAAACTTGAGTTCTTCAGCATCAACACCCTGGAATTTACCAGTGACCAGAAACTGAATTGGACCAGCAACAAAAATGCTCTAGCTAGAAGAAAAGGTCAGAAATGAGGAATTCTTTAATGTGTAACTAAATTCCCAATCCATAATCTATAAGGCGCAAGTCAGGAATATGGTTTGTTTTTTCTTCCTCTTTATTCTTTCTTGGAATGTGCCACTAGCAAGGCCAGCTTTTGTTACCCAATCCTAACTGCCTCTGATAAATCATATCAGAGGGCAGTTAACAGTCAACCACATTTCTGTAGGACTGTCAATTACATGTAGACTGCATCAGGTGAAAATGGGAGATTTCCTTCAACTAAGAGCATTAGTGAAGGGATTTTATGAGCATCGAGGTTCATGCTCACTATTACTGATGTTGGCTTTATAATGCCAGATTTATTCACCAAATTTCATAATCCATTGTGGGATTTCAACCTAAGCCTGTTCCTCTGTATTGTTTGTCCAGTTATATCACGATTACATTACCAGCTTCCCATTTTCTACTTACCTGCTGGAGTGCAGCTCCAATGATAGTCTCTTTCAAAAGTACCGTTCAAGCCCTCAGTCTCTACCCCTTCACGAGTGAAGGTAGTGGACATCCACTTGCAAGTTCCCTTTCTTCCCACACAACACCCTAACTCAAGAATATATGTCTTTCTTCACAGTCACTCATTACAAATCCTGGCACTTCCTTTCCTAACAGCACCATGGGTGTGTCTAAACCAGTGGTTCAAGAAGGCGGCTCATCACCACCTTCTCCAGGGCATTTAAGAACAGGAATCAAACAGTGGTCTTGCCAGCAATGTTCACATCCCATCAGTGAATAAGCAACTGACAAATGGTCACTTAGGTAAGATATCACTGTTGAATTGCCTCAGAATGAATTGTTAACTTAAATTAAAAAACCACTAAAGGCAGAAAACAAGGCCTGAATCTTTGTTTCTGGGTCAGGAGATTTCCTGGTTCCATATGCCTGACCAGGAAAAGTGTGCACTGGAACTTCGGATTTTTATTTTGGGGGTCAGGTTTTATGGGAGTTTGTGGCAGGCGGCACTAGAAACAGTGTAGAGGCTGTCAGGTTTGGAGATGGCTGGAGGGAAGGCAAATCTTAGTGTGTAAATGCTTTGCCAAAGCAATGGTAGAAAAAAAAAAGCAAGAAAGCCAAAAGCAGCTGTTGATCCATCACCTTTCACAACTCTTCACCTAACCCCCAATATACTCCCACGCCATATCCATGTTAACCCAAGCCCTGATAGCCCCAGGCTATTGTCAACAGATAGACTGAAATAACAAATACTGGTTTTATTTTACACTGCAGGCAGGCTTTGTTTTCAAACATTTAAAGAGCAGGGGTTTTAAATGCCTTAGCACCTCCTTTTGACACCTCTGATGCCATTTCTGTTGATAGATCACTGAAGAGTTCCAATGAGCTTTACACTTTTATTGAATGTATAAACTTCATACACAAATTTGTGTCCACTTTAACCAACCTCAAGGGCACCTTGCCTACCCCAAAGCTGTCTGAGGAAAATATCTGAATGGGTACCGTACTTCTTCAAAGAATCCCAGAAATTTTAGATCTTCTTCTATCTGGTAAAAAGTACA